CTCATGTATTTCTGTCCTTAAAAGGTTCAACCTCGGCCAAACACTTAGAAAAATGAGTGAATCGCCAAATGCATTTTTTTGTTTTATTAAGTTTCCAGAGCAACAACATAAATAATAAACATCCAAAATATGCCCTGTGCGAAAATTTTGAGTTTAGNTCCAGAGCAACAACATAAATAATAAACATCCAAAATATGCCCTGTGCGAAATTTTTTAGTGAACGTGGAGCAAATGGATTATGCATGCATCGGCATTAGTTCTTGCTGCTACTTTCTGTTCAATCCTCTTAAAGAAAATTATTTGTTTGTTCAGAATCTCGAAATAATAATATTTATAATTTCTAATGTGAATCTTAGAACCTGCGAACCAGCATTTTATTAGCCAAAATAGCATTGGTTGTAATTAATTTAAGTACTTCATTCAATCGGATTTCTCGCTGGCGTAAAATGTCCTTCGGTTGCNGGTTGTAATTAATTTAAGTACTTCATTCAATCGGATTTCTCGCTGGCGTACATGTCCTTCGGTTGTTTGAAATTCCTATGGACGCAGGACCGTTTGATCGATGTATCGGCATTCGCTGCGCAGCTAACGCAAAGCATTGAAGAAAACGAGCTGGCATTTTCGTTCGAACAGCCTTTCTGAAATAACGCAGTAACTATAATATTCACATCAGTCCTTACAAAACAAAAAAAAAAACAATAATTATAAGTACCTAATTAGAAAGTTCGCAGTGTGCGTGCGTGCGTGCATTTTTGAATTTTGAGCGGCAAATGCCCACCGCAGCGACTGCAGAATGTTCGTACATAAAAATACTCGAGCGCAATTTGCTGAACATGCGGCCGCCATTCGAGGCGACAGCAGCTCTGAGGACGAAGAGGAGGGAGGCGATGCGTTGCAGGTGAAATTCAAATGAAATTTTTGTCTAAATTGTTTAAAATATTGTAAACGTTGGCTTTTAAATTGCATAAATTAATTAGTACAGTTACTTTGACTTGAGGGTTTGAGGTGAAAACAAAAATAAAAAAAGCCAACATTAAACATTCTCTGGTTGATTATGTAACCGGGTTACATAAGAATGGATGTGCCAACTTTGCTTTGTCTCTGTTGACAGTACTGTACATGTGTTTGAAATTTATGATTAAAGTAATCATAAGTGAATTTATGATTAAAGTAATCATAAGTGAATTTAAATTTTCTTTGAACTTCTAAAGGTATGTAATTTCTTCCGAATATTCTTATAGTCAGTGGAAATTCAGGTCCAGTTAAATATTAATTTTCTAGTAAATGTACGCAAGTAAATATGTACACTAGGCGACAAATGAAAGTGTACACCTTGTTCTAATATAATATTTTTTCGATACTACTTTTGCCTTTTTTATTTATTTAACAAGTACAATTTACAAAAGCTGGTTTTTGTGAAATTTTGTTGCTAACGGTATCTCGCAATATATATACATATTTCATAAGAAATTCATGCTTATATGGGAAAAGTGCAAAAATCCGTCACCAAGAAAAAATCCTCAAAAATTAAGGGGATTTTTTAGACGCTTGAAACTTGCATTTTCATTAGACTAAAATTGAATGGGCTACACAACTGCATACTCAATATTCTAGAAATTTTTAATGAAAAGTGGAAAATATTGGTTAAAATTTTTTTAATCCATATACAATTGCTCAGTGATACGACTTAGTTAGGGCGATCTGGAGTAGCTAACGAATTGAGTAATATATCAAATTGAAATGCGTGTTACACAGGTTAGGGCGATCTGCAGCAGTGAAAGAATTGAGCTACATATATATCAAATTAAAGTGCAAGCTGCAGTTGCGGTTGACCGTGTTTGTCACAAAAGTAAAACGTGGCAGAATAGTCGATAGTCTATGAAAAATATTAACACATTTTCCGTGGAATTGTGATTCGGATGGATTCGTATTATTCATAGTTTTGAAATATATTTCGCGAAGGCAAAATATAAAAATAGCTGAGATCACTTTCTTTTTCGGACACCTAGGATATCACTGAAAAATTTAAAAGACTCTGAGTGACGGTAAAACTCAAAGCTTGAAAAATTGTTTGATACAATTAACTATCCAAATTAGCAGGTAGACATATTTAAAAATTTTTAGAACCTGTGGTTGAATTTTTGCACTGAAAGGGTTAAGAAAGCTTTAGTATAAAAGTGTAATACCAAATGCCTTTCACCATGAAACGGCGCCAATTTTCAGTGGTTTTTGCTTCTGAGACTACGACCAATAAAACCCTTGCACTGATATTGTGAAGGGTTGGACTATACCTTAAAAAATACTGTTTTCTCATGGCCCACTGTGCGATGCTTTGAGTAGCCCTTGAAAATCTTAAAAATTATTTTGAGTTATCAGGTCTCTAGCAATAAATACAAGATTAATTCTTGTCTTTCATGAAGTTCTTTAAATAATTCTTGAGCTAAATACTAAAGTATATTCATGAATATCACGCTTTACTTTTTACATAAATTCAAATCCTTAATATTAGTAAGTACCTATTTCTTTACTGCATTCACCCGAATTTCGGCGGTTATTACTAGTTTTCGTGAGCTTTATATACGTAAAGTGTGAAACTTTGATTTAAATTAATGCAATAAATTTTTCATGAAAATAATTGTGAATAATAGATTAGAAAAAGGTGCCCACTTTCATTTGTCGCCTAGTGTATGTATGTATACACCACCGAGTCAATAAAAAAAACTTTATATTAAACTCTTTTCTTTACAGAATACCTTTCTTTTCCAATTATTTTATGCTTATTGGATTTTTCGATTTGCATAAAAAATATTTTTATCCACCTCAATCGGGGGTTAGCCCCTGAAGTTTAAGAATTTTGGTCTGGTAAAAGTTTTCAGAAATTTCAAACATTTTATTTTGTATTTTGAGTGTTGGATAACAATTTTTTCTTACGTTGTTTTTTTTTTTTTTGATTACGCAGTGGAACAATCACTTGAGGGCTCAACCAAACTAGAAGTAAATCACTACGAATTTACTTACCACAAACTGGTTTTAATTTTTGAGTTAGCCCTCAACAGCTTCCCTGAAATTTTTTCATAGCGTAATTTCCAATTTTTTACCATATTTTACAAAACACACAATTATAATATGTGCACATTAATTCATATTCAGCAATATATGTAGATATACATACATATATGCATATACATATATCTATAATTTTTGCAGCATTTTGAAATTATTTTTGAATTTTGTAAACTAATACATTTTGGTATTTTTGAATTTTGTGGCTTTTCATTGTTATCCTCGATGGTGCAAAAACAAAACCAAAAAATTAAAAAAACTTTTGGTGCAAAATATGCAAACTCATCCTACTGAAATTTACATTTTATTTAAATTGAGTTTGTTTCATTGCGTGGCCGGTGCATGAAAAAAAAACGCATGAAAAATAAAAATTTCATTATTAATCCACACAAACGGAATCGTTTTTGAAAAAAAAAAAATGACTACCGACGCCGACGAAGCGCAGCGGCGACGTGAAGAATGCGAACGCAAAGCTCGACGTGGGGAGATGGACCCCCGTTTGGAGTTCACTTTCCAACTGCTCATCGACGCAACGCAGTTGCCAAGGCATCAACTTATGGATTACATATTCGAGGGAGATATGGTGGGTAACGAACTAAGAAAAGTGGTAAATATTTAGAAAGTTTCCGATACCACATATCCATGTATGTATGTACATTAGACTGTATCACCAAAAAAAGTTGCGGTTTTTCCGCCGGGATTACAAAATTGATTATATTTTAAGACGTCCACCAAAATATTTCGGAAAAATATTAAGATTTAAGCGAGCTGGACCAGTATGAAAATACCTCCAAAAATGAAGTTTTTTATGAATAAAAATAGTTTCTTAAAGAACTTTTTGAAAAAAGTCCCCTCAGATGACAAATTAGATTAAGCTTAAAAAATCTGCATAAAAATATTTAAAAGCTTTTCAACGGAACCGTAAGAATGAGATTTTTGATGCTGTTTTGTTTACTTTTTTCAAAGATTGGCTTACGAAAAACTTGAATAACCGGGCCAAAAATGTTCTGATGTAGACTTATGGGATCTCAGTATAAAAGTATTTTCACACTGGTTTTATTTCTGGCCAAAAAAACGTCATTCGGGTCCCATCTTGTTTTTTCGAATACCAACATATCTTAATTCAACTTTGAATGACGTTCGTTCATCCTACCTTTCTCCTCGATCCTTTGAATGAATTTATTAGCAAAGAAATAAAAAGGGTGAGAAAATACCTTTCCAACGATGCCTCACAAGTCTAAATCGGAAGAGTTTAGGTTCAGTTTTTCACGTTTTTCCTAAACCAATCTTTGAAAAAAGTTAAAAAACAGCATCAAAAATCTCATCATTACGATTCCGTTCAAATATTTTTTTAAATATTTTTTTAAATATTTTTATGCAAATACTTTAAGCTTAAACCGTTTTGTCATTTGAGGGGAATTTTTCAAAAAAAGTCTTTAAGAAACTATTTTTGTTCATAAAAAACTCTATTTTTGGAGGTATTTTCAAATCGGTCCAGCTCACTTAAATCTTAATATATTTTCCGAAATATTTTGGTGGACGTCTTAAAATATAGTAGATTTTATAATTCCAATGGAAAAATAGTACCGGTTCTTTTTTTTATGGAGAGTGATGCAGTCTAATGTACATACATATACATATGTATATGTAAGAGGACTTTTTTTTGGTAAATAAACGAAGAAGATAAGTATTAGTTTCCGATCATGATCGATCCGGATGATGAGATACTTTTTCTCTGAAGAGATCAAGTTGCGGATAAAAATATTATTTGGAACGTGTATTCTTACCGCGGGTTTTTCTTATTAAATTTCTAGTTAGTTTTTAATATAAGTAGTTGGTTTCAAAAACTATCCCTTCTGATGCACATTTAATTCATACATACATACATACGTACATACACGTGAAACTTCAAATCTAAAGCACCCTCTTCCCGGCAGTTGGATGAAATCAATCAACTTTTTTTGCCCAACATGAAAAACAAACTTCTATGGTTTTATCAAGAAGTCGATGAGCCCGAACCGCAAGCTGTGCAGGATCCCAACAAACCAGGACCATCACGGAGTGGCATCGCATCGAGTAGCTCAAAGACTCCGCAGGGTACATCCTTTCTGAAAATTTTCACCAATATGCATGTACATCTTTATACACATCTAAAATCACAAATACCTGCAAGTAAATATATCGTCGATGTTTTTGCAAAACCACCCACCGATCAGTCGCAAAACCGCCTAAATCGCCATTGTGGCAAAAATGAGATTTGGTAACCCTGAACTCCAGGCATCGTATAATCGTTATTGAAACTACAGATCTGAAAAATTATAGCTGGAGAAAATACCGCCTATGAAGGCAATGCCTTCAAAGAAAACCTGTTTTTTCGCTCTCCTTTAAAGTTTTAGTGCCGTAAGAAAGGCGTTTTTGCAATTAGTCGATGGGTGGTTTTGCAAAAAACATTGACGATATATATACATATATACAGTGGCGGTCAAAAATGGGTGAATGGTGTTTCGTTTTTAATATTTACAATGTTTTTCAAACTAAATTTTTTTAATTTTTTTTTTTTTTTGTAAAAATGTGTTTATGTTTTAACAAAAACCATATATATCACACTTTATTACGTTTTAGCCAGCATTTTTAAAATTTTTGGGTATGCAGTTTTTTGCTAACGGCTTTTTTTCAAACAAAATTGTTAAATATCAATGCAATTTTTAGCCGCTCAAAACTTGAACTAATTTCGCTAAAATTTTATAATCCTGTTAACTGCATACCCAAAAAACTAAAAAAGTCTGGTTAAAAAGCCAAAATCTGTATAAAGTTTAAAAGTGTGATTTATATGGTTTTTGTTAAAGCATGAACCATATTTTTATAAAAAAATAAAAAAAAAATTATTGCTTGAAAAACATTGTAAATATTAAATACGGAACACCATTCATCCACTTTCAACCGCCACTGTACATATAAATATGTATGCATATCCACACATTCGTGCAGCATTAAACAGCAATTATCTTCCATTGAATGTATCTCTTTCGTCTAAAAGGTTCCTCGCCTAGCGGATCTGCGCCGTCAAAACCAAAGAAATTGTTTCTCACAGATGGATGGAGTTGTGCTTTCACCGGGATTTGCATTTACATATTTCGCGTAAACACTTCAAAACAATTGCCCGAAGAAGGCTTCCAAAAGGATCTGTAAGTTCGATTAGCTTTTCGCTTGTACAATCTCATATGAACTTAAGTACATATGTATGTGTTTACATATATGAAGGGCGTATTTTTGGAGTCTTTTCGTAGGAGGTTTAAACAAACACAAAGTAAATATTTACTTTTATGTTTTCTACATTAAGTCCTCTCAAAGGTCATGCTTGACTATCCGGGCTTATAAATAATCCACAGCCTATTTAATAGCCTTTGTGAGTTTTTGGGTTAAAATGTACGTACGTACGTACATACGAGAGCCCTGCACGCTTCCCTGCAGTAAAATTTAGAGACAGTCTCTTAAAGCGCTAGTTCCGCCCTACACATTTCAGAACCATCTCTGAACTAGTGCAAAACGGCTGCAGAGAGGGACAGTTGAAACTATCGGTGTGTTAGTTGCGCTCTGTTGAGAAGTAAATGCACAAATTCTCAATTCTCGTACAATACTAAAATAGCTCAGCGGGAAGACCTCCGACTCGAACACCGTTGGTCGCGAGTTCAAATCGCGGTGGAGGCAGTTGTGATTTTCAGATTTAATAAATTTAAATTGTTGAGTGCCGTTTTAAAATTGAAGAGAAAATGATCAAATTTAATATAAAGAAAATAAAAGAATAATAAAAAAGAAATAAAATGCAATCTGTAAAAGAACAGAAAAAATGAAATAAATAAAAAAAATCGAATAATCAGAATTTTTTTTTTAATAAAAAACTTATTGTCGCAGATCTGTCTAAAATGGAACCAGTTTAGAATAGAAAAATAATCTAATAATCGAGTTTTAAAATTTTTTCTCATAGAAAAACTTACTGTCCCAGAACTGTCCAAAATGGAACCAGTTTAGAACTAGTTCGAAAGTTCTGCAGAGGGGGGCAATTTCCACTTAGTAGGACATCGCCATGTAAAAAGAGACAGTTGAAAGCATTGCGTTGGGATAGATCGAGAACCAGTACCGCCTCTTAAAGAGCTAGTTCTGCGCTAGTCCTGAACTAGCACGATTTACTGCACGCTTATAACAGCCAATTACTATATGTATGTATGCTGAGTATTTTCATTGCACATACATACATATCGCCGTTTAAAGTACAAAACCGCGTATCGTCGTTCTGCAAAACCCCGTAACCAGTGTTGCCGTTTGAGCCCTTTGAGTGCTTGATTTAGCTACCACATACTTTTTTTGGTTACATAAATTTAGAATTACCCCTAGCCCTTTTTTAGCCCTTTGGAGAATTGATTCATACTTGGCATGAAAAAGTTATATATGCTTAATTTGATCTAATTTTTTTTTTAAGAATGTAAGAGATTAATTTTTAAACTAAAAAAGACTGATATATATACATATATGTATTGTATGTTCTTTGGTTAATTTTACATATTTTGAGGAAAATTATGGATTCTGATGCATTTGCAATTATAGCAGCAGAGTAAGAGGGCGCTATGGCAATGGATTCACAAAGGTATGCGGAGCTGTCAAGCGTAGCAACCATGGGCGCATCTATGTCAGCTTCTGGTTGAATTGTGGAACCACAAGCCAGAGCTCCTCCTATGCCTGAAGCTCTGGTTCTCAATCCAGTTAATACAATAACAGCTTCTTCCAAGCCATTGAAACTATGCACTTTGTTAGGCCCACCACCTGTTCGATTGCTTCTGCCTTCGGCCTTACTAAGTATAATTCTCCTTTCTACATACAACATTTCTTGTGCATATCACTCCGGCTACGCCGTCCACAGTATTTTTGCGCAGAGCCCACGTCAAAATTTGCAAAAAAGTGCATAGTGCAAACCGAGTTTATTAATAAGTTAGTGGTAGGAAATTTGAAACATTTACATATCTTAAATAAAATGTGAATCCATTGATTACACGTGTATGTTAAAGTTTTTGAATTCGGGTTATGCGTTTGGACACAACAACCGAAAATCATTGTACAAATAACTAAACTAAAATTTCTCCATAAGGGGCAACGAAAGAGTTTCAGAATAGGGGTGTAAGTAAAAAGTATTTTGGCGGAAATTTCTTGCTCTATACGAGTCAAAGCCGTGTTTGTGGAAGATTAAGTTCACGATATTGCAGTTGCGAATTAGAAAAAAAAAACAATGTTTAACAAAATGGTGGAAAAATTATGGTAGAATTATTATGGTAGAAATTATTTCCTCGACCTCATTTGTAAAGAAAGAAATATTGTACCAGCATGCTGGTAAGTTATATGATTCGAGCCTGATGGTACAATCACTTGATGGAGCCCTTTTATACAAAAAGGTTTTTGATTCGATAAAATATTAGCTTTTTTCCAGAGGTCATTGTTTTTCTATACCATTACTTATTGAAAATGTTTGCGTGTAGCCAGCAAACACAGTCTCTAGCGTTAGAGAAACAAAGAAAGAGCAGTTTGAAATTCACGTTCGAATCCCATTAGAGATCAACATTAGAATTCGATTAGAGAATTAATATTATCTCGAGTCGAGAACTATATATGCCCCTTTTTGTTTGAGATTGGATTGTTCTCCAATCATTCTCTAATCGATAACTAACCTCAGTGTTTGCTGGGTATATGTAAGTACAAAATTTTAGCTACTATTTTTAGCCACAACGATTTTTTTAGCTCTGTTTTAGCCCTTTTTTAAAGAAATTTGGCTACCATTAAAAATGATTCGCGGCATTGACATTTGTGCCAAACAGATATTTGCTTACCGGAAGTTCTAGGCATCAGCCCTTATCCATTTATATTTAAAGCTCAGTTTGTCAACGACATAGTGTAAACGTAGGTTGACGTACGTAGCAGCATATAAATTTACTATTGATAGAGAGAGAGAGAAGCAACGGCAACGTCACCGCCATGCGGTGGTGACTTTTCGTTAACACGCGAATCCCATAAGCTAGATCGTGTCTGCGTCAACCTACGTCTACGCTACGTCGTTGACTGTTTGAGCTTTTAGATATCGATACTTAGATATAAGAAGAAGAGATAAAAGAGAGAGAAATAGGACTAACTTGACAAAATCTTGGCATTCCGCGAATTTTAATAAATATTCATCACAATTTGAAACATTTTAATCAGATTTTCTAGAATTTTTTTGAGTATGCAATTTTGTAGCCCATTAAATTTTAATATAATAAAGTGCAAGTTGGAAGAAGCTTCGACCTAGCGTTGATTTTTGGCAATTTTTTGTTCGCGAATTTTCTTCCATACCTATTGTGTTCAAAATTTTTTTTTTGTATGGAGAAAATGAGCAATACCTTCCCCAAACAAATATTTACCAAATATCAACGGTAGGACCTAGCTACTTAAATTTTGCACTTTGAACAGAATGGGTTACGAAATTGCATACTCAGAATTTTTCTAAGAAATCTAATTAAAAAGCTTACAATTTTTATGAAACTTTGGTACGGACCGTACTTATAGGCGGCAAAGTGACCATCAGCTGAAAATGAAAATACAAAAACAAAATATTTTCGCTTCTGGCTGAGTTGGCGTATCGTCCACACGTAAGTTAAGTCTAGACTAACTAGACTTTTAGTTCTTGAATGATTCATGCTTGCAAGGCATATCAAACCGGTAGTAGCATTAGAGCAAAAACAAAATTTGTGTGTGTTTTGTGAGAATCAATTAAAATATATTTTAAGCAATGAATGTTACTACATATGTAGGTCCCATAGGTTTAACAAAAGTTTCTTTGAATTTGTAAAAATTGGGGAGGTTGGTTTAAATTAAACCGCTCATACGTACATACATACATATGTACATATATACTTGGGCTTCACTCTGCAATCATATCGCACTTTCTCAAATGATTCTCTCACCCCCAAATGTTGTGATTGGTTATTATATATATTTTTTTTTTGTATCTATTATGGATCCGATTCTTATGTTCCCACTCAGATACTGCGGTGTTATTGATGCCAAAAACGTCGGTCTGGTCACCTCGATTGAGCGCATCGTCGAATATGTCTTCATGCAGGCATTGGCTTTTCCCAGCTTGGAAGGCGATGAAGAGGATGTTAGCTGCGGTCTGATAAAAGGACAATTGCTGCCGGGCCTAAGGTCCTTCTGCAGTGCTCTGCGTGTTTGTGAGCAAGTGTGCGATCATGTGAATATATTCGACGATAAATGTGATATGTTTGAGAAGATCGAACACGTTGAGGAGGTCAAGGATATGGCAAAGAATCAGGAGTTTTGTGGGCAGCTGGAAGAGCGTGTAAATAACTGGATAAAGGGTATCATGAAGATACTAGGTGAAAGTGAACAGTTACGCAAGGAGAATGACTCGAGCGGCCCGCAGGATGAGTTGGAGTACTGGAAGAAGCGTGGTGCGTTATTTTCGCAACTGTTGGCACATTTGCAGGACCGTGAGGTGCAATATACGTTGCACTGCCTCTTTTTGGCTGGATCGCGGGTTATGCGCGTGTGGAAAGAGACCGATCGAAAGATAACATTTTGCTATAATGAGGCGCGTGATAATTCGAAATTCATTCAGGCTATGGAAACTTGCTGCCACTCTTTGTATTTGGACGATCCGGTAGGTGTCGTGCAGTATCCATTTTTGGTTAATAAAATAGGAACATAAATTTTCCAATAAAAGAAATACATCCACGAAAATTAAAAAATTTAAAAATAATCTTTAGGGGTCACTACCGGCGTTTGAAAATATTATAATTGGATAGTTATTGTAATCTAATAATGAATTATCAATACCAATTTAGAGCAATTGCAAGTTTAATTCCAATTTTTTCACACCTTGGTAGCGACTCCCAAAATTATTTTAAAATTTTGAAGGTCCTTATTTTAGTGCATAAGGTGCTATGTATATGTTTTATACATATAAACATACATATGGGTGTTTCCATGATGTCGGACGTAACATTCGTACGACTTAAGAGTTAAATAAATCATACCCCGGTGTCGCGAAAATCGATGAAAAGGAGGTCATAACGGACGAGAGAAAACAGAAGTGGCTTCAGACTACATGTAAAAATAAGCAAAACTCTGTGAATCCGGTGAAATTTTCCCTTCTTGAAATAAAGTCAAATAACGGAACCAATTCATTTTTAATCAGAAGCATTTCGTTCTTGGTTTAATTTTGAACTAAAATGTGATAAAGGACGTGACAGACTTTTCCCCCACAATATTTTTTCAAGTAATACATGTGGTATTCTTTTTGTACGTTACCTCTCCCTAGGGTTGCCAACCGTACTATAATATATAGTATTGTACTATTTTTTGGGTCTGCGTACTATATATACTGTTGGAACAAATATATTGTATGCAAAAATACTTAATTTCTTCAATTATAAATATAAATATATTTCAGTAATTTGTAAGAAAGAAATGTTTTAAAAAGGATGACATTTATATTGAAATATTATGACTAAAATAAATATACTTTAAAACAAAGGGTGCACAGATCAAAAATATCATAATTTTTAAAAATACTTAGAAAGATTTACCGAATTCTCTATTCCTGCAACTTCGGCATCCACAGAAAGAGTTTTTTCTATTAAGATTTTGAAATGGTGAGATGAGAGAGATTAAGCGAATATCTCACTATTAAAAAATTAACTTTGGATTTACATTAATTTATATATTGATAGCGATAAAGCATATGATACTTTCAAAGAAATATATTTTTTATAGAGGAAATGCATAAGAAAGAAAAAAGATGTACACATAAAAAGCATTTTTACTTTTTCTTGAAAAAAAATACTATATATATTTGAAATGTACTATATTTTTTCAGATTTTTTTGAAAAAGTACCATCTTATATATAGAAATGTTAAATGTTTCTTAGATTTAAAATGACGTTAAGATGAAGTCTCTACGATCAGCAGAACCCCAGATATAACGATCTTAAAAAGTACATGATTAGTCAGAATCACGAAAAAATGCAAACTTTGACAGATCATATCTCCGAAGAACAAAAAGAAGAAAAAAATTCGTCCGAAATCCGTCCGACTTAAAAAATAATGGCTCTTATAAGATATGTTATCCCAACGCATAATTTTCCGCTCTTTCTGAATTCGAGATAAAAAGAGGGTTACCAGTAAAAAAATAACATGTTGACCACGAAATGACCTTGAAATTAACACTAGCGTTATTTTGCCACTCGACATTGGAAATCTTTTTTTTTTGTTAATGAATTTTACATATTTAAAAAAAAAATTCAAGTTAAAGAAAACCGGGCAGGATGGAGTTTACGTTCAATAAGAATATCCCACATAGATAATTTAATTTTTAACCGACTTCAAAAAAAGGAGGAGGTTATCAATTCGCCAGAATATTTTTACTTTTATTTTGTTAGTGCATAACTTTGGACCACGTCAACCGAATTCTTTTTGCATCGGAAAGGTAGTGTCTCAGAAGTAGTCCCATACTAATCTGGATTAGATCCCATCACCGGATCATGAAAAAATTAACGGTACTCCTAAATTTTTATACGAGATTTGAAGTCGGTTGAAGTGAACCCATACTAATATGGATTAGATCCGATCATTGGATCATGAAAAAATTAACGGTACTCCTAAATTATTATACGAGATTTGAAGTCGGTTTTATTTTTTGCTTAAAAATTATTTGTTTCAGTTCTTCTCTCCACCGTTTCGCGTTTTCATAACCTTTTTCGCCATCTGAATACGAAATTTAAAGCTATAAAGCCGCTTGAGCCCTTTTACATACTTGCATTTTCGGTTTAAATTTTTATGGAAACACTCATATGGGAGCATTGCTAAATACATACCTTTTTTACAACCAAATATTTTTTATTCAATAAAGTTTTATGAAATGATTCTTCTTCTTACTTTTATTCAAAAGGTATGCATGAAACAATCGATACTCAGCTTACTCCAAACTGTGCGACTCATCTACAGTGTTTCTCAATTTTACAACACTTCCGAGAGAACCTCATCACTTATGGTTAAGGTTCGTGTTTTATATTTTATTTTCATTGAAAACTAACTAGTACTGTAATTAATCTATTGGAATAGCTTGAAATAATTTTAAGTTATTAAATTTATTTGAATCATATATTTACATATAAGTTTATTGATAGCCCCTCGATAATTTTTTAAAAACTACATCCTTCCGCTGATTCATCGTCGTTTATTTGTCCAATGCCTTCTGTACTCCAAGAGTCCGTCTTTTCGCAGTGTGCGGGCGAGGTTGACATATTTGTTGTAAAGCATACCTCGTGCCCGGATATGACCCAAACGTGGCATATAAAAAGTATCCTGCGGAAAAACGAATGCTTGTAAGAAACTTAATACAGTTTCACTCAACAGCTATGTACACACATACATATGTATATGTTAGCATATGTACATATATATGTACATACCTACGTACTTACATCGCTCTCGTTTGGGAATAGCTGCAACAGCTGCTTGTTCATGCTGTGGAAATCATGTACAGACATGTCCATTCGCTTGTCCAGCGCCGCAGAAATAATTATCTTAACCACTTTCTTGCGGTGGTGCATGTCGAGACATTTGTTCTCTTCATAGTATTCAATGGCATTCATACCTTCATAACAGCTTTGAAGCACAGATTTGACATCCTGAAAAAGTGCATACACATGTTCATATATAATACATACATACATTAGGGCAGGTCGAAAGAAACAATATATTTGATTAGAAAATTGTATAGGTCTTAAAAGGTGCTATTTTAAGAAAGTAAATCCCGTTTCTCTGGACAGTAGTATCTTCAGTCTGCGGAATGAGCTTGAAAAATTTAAGTAAGAGTGGGAATACCAATTTTTAAAATTTGGAATTGGGAAAATTAAAAGTAAGTAAAATCAATATTTTAATCAAGTACCTAATCTTTATTTCATACTTCGCATTATTAATTGATTAAAATATTTATTTAACTTGCTTTGAATTTGCCCAATTTTTTTTTTATGATTTTGTGATAGGAAAGAACTTCGTTGTAAAAATTTTAAAAATTGGTATTCCCACTCTTATTTTAAAATTTTCAAGCTGTTTCCGCAGACTGAAGATATTGTCGCAGATAATCGGAATTTGTTTTCTAGAATAAGGGATTAAAATAGCATCTTTTAAGACCTATACAATTTTCCTATCAAACGTGTTGTGTTTTTCGACCCGCCCTAATATACATATATACATACGTAGTTCTGTAAGTCTGTGAGATTATTTTCGTCTACCTACCAAGTGTCTTTTCGAAGTAGACGCCTTTTCAATTGGCGAGTCATCATATTTCGCATCGCTCATCATCGATGCAGTTTTGGAGTCACTATCTTCGTACACTTCGCTCTCTTTTGTAGGGTCGTCATACAGATTACTCGCGTGCTCATCTTCTAGAGTTATTTCTGGAAGTTCGTCTTTGATGGCAACTGTTGTATCCACTTGATCGCTGTTTAGTAAAATAACGTGATCGTCCTTCTTGATTACTTGCTGTTGTCGCCAAGCCAAAAGATGTGATCGAAATATTGCACGGGGTCCAATTTTCGGTATTAGTTCACAGATGTCCTCATCCGTCAAATATTGGAATGCCACAGTGCAAACCTCTTGTTCTGCAGGTTTTATCATGAATAAAATCACAAATTCTGTATTACATTATCGTCATATTCTAAGTCATTACCTTTAAATTTAGTGCAGAGGTTTTGTAGGTTCCATGAGGACAGCAAGCTAAGCGCCTCTCCCAAATGGGGTTTCGCTATAAACGATAAAAAAAGTTGATTGAAGCTTTCATATGCAAGAACATACATATGTACATATTTTTTAACTAGGCAAATTAAGTGAACTTTTTCACATAAATGAAGACATTCTAAAATGGGTAAGAAAATATCAAAAACGCCAAAGGAGATCTGCAGTCGCTTACAAGTGCTATTAAGTTGGCTGAAGAGAAGAAAGTTGAAGCAAAGCATGTCTCCGATCGTCCGTTAATTCTTTGAATTAGATAACAGCGAGAAATAGGAGGGCATCTTGAACTCATTTTTAGGACATTTTGCTACATGCTTAGTCGAATTTCCCCAATTGTGGTACGCGTCTTGGTGTCCTTACACAAATGGAGGGATTTATAGTCTTAAAGCATAAACAGACGGCAGCGTTGATCCGGATCAACTCGGGAATTAACTGCAGTTGATCCGGATTAAGTCCGAGTTAATCCGGATCAACGCTGCCGTCTGCTTAAGCTTTTAAATCGCCTCTGAACGGTAGATGGTTTTTATGCGAAGCTTTTTCTTCTGTCAGACCTTTTGCGTTGGGTAATAAATTCATAACGGTATCCTCCAAGTGTTCCTCATAAGAAGAGAATTCGTCTTTCTTTATTTTAAAAGTGGTCAAAGTCATTTCACATCTTTTGTGTTTAAATGATAATTTAACTGTAACTTCATCAACCAAAGGTAAAACGTTTATTTGTTTATGGCGATAGAAAATTTATTTTCAGACATCCAAATCTGACGTGGCAGATCATTGTCAGAGGAAAGTTTCTAATAAGGAATTGGTGTGCCATTAATCCTAGACATGCGGATGTCGTTTTGCTCACCGGGACTTATGACTAACTCTTTCTCAGGGGATTTGCCGGAAGCTGCATGGCTAATGAATTGGCGAGCCAGGCTATCCTTGAGGTTATCTCTCCTGTTTCTTCCGTTGAGCTCTGAAAACCACCGCACAATGACTCCAAATCCAAAAAAGCCGTCGAAAGTGTTAAATTTTAGGCATTCATAATCGGCTTTGACGCAGTGACTGTATACTATGGGTAGGCGCGGGACTATAAGCTATTCTGTCCGATAAAGTTGCGCATGCTGAACGTTCTATTTAAAGAAACGGGTTGCGGCTAGCTGCGACAACTTCGAAAACGTTTGAGTTTTAAGATATTTTTACAAATTTCGCAAATCTAGCATTTATAATTCTCGGCTCGGTTTTTATCGACACTGCCGAGGAACTCCCGAGGTGGTCATCAGCTGCCTAAATTTTAGGCGACTTAATTTTGAGAAGTTTAAAGAATCTGATCACATCTCAGCTCAGCTGAATATAATGTAATTATATAGCTAGTTTCCTATGGGAAAAATAAACGGGTGCGCCACCTCTTGGAATTATCGTAGAGAGGGCAGATTGGAATGTGTCATGTACATACGGATACTTGGGCGGCCGCTGTGGTGTATTGGTTAGCAGTGCACGCTACCACTCCGCAGGGCCTGGGCTTTTTTTTTCTAATAGCGGTCGCCTTTGGGCAGGCAATGGAAAACCTCCGAGTGTATTCCTGCCTTTCCAGCTTCTCATACAAATAACCGGCAATCTATTATTATTATTATTACATACTGATATGTATGTGAAAAATAGGTATGTGTCAGTTTGACCAATTTTGGCTATTTTTATTTGTTTATCAATTGTGTGTAAAATTATAGCTCGATTTATTCAAAGAAATTTAAGTAAAAGTACTAAAATCGCTAGAAAAAGCATTGCTTAATTTTTACTCATACGGCCCATTATACAGCCATAGTCAAAATTACTTTCTGTGTAATTACATAATTTTTCCACGTTTGCTAAAATGCCACAAAGATTTAATCACGGATTTGTTTACATTCTTTTTAGGAAATCTAAATTACATTAACATTGCAATTTACAGATTTACAAATTGAGCGCCTCTTTACACCAAGAGTATCAAATAGCCGTCGAAATTTACCACCGTGAAAAGATAATCATTACTTTCTATATGCTGTGTAAATACTTTTGACGTCAAAAAGTGTGTAAATAAATACTTTAGACGACTTACAACGAATATTCAAATGTTATTTTTAAATTGAAATACATATATGGTTAATATCTTAAATTTTTCGCTTGCAATTGTATGAAGACATTTTCTAAAACAGTTTAAAGGCAACAAAAAGGGAGGGCTTTGCGTAAATAATTTTGACTATACGGTCGGTTATGCAAGACTTCTAGACTGCCTGCTAAAAAAAATGCCTGTAAAATTTTTCGCTCACTTGCTTATAAATAACCGGCAATCGTTAAAAAGTCGATAAAGGAGACCGGCCGTCAACTTTTAACAGGCAGTCGAGAAAACGGCCCTTGGACTTGACTTGAAAATCTATACATATGCATGATAAAAATATAGCAAGGTAGAACCGTTCTCTCAATTTGTCGGCCATGATTTTTTTTTGAAGTTTGCCAACATTTTAAAATCATATAAAAGTGAAAATAAAAAATTGAAATTGTTCGAAATTGTTGTTGCTTGAGATTGAAAATGAAAATGTGTGTGTGAGTTTGTGAGTAAATTTAAAAATTAAATTGTTTGGAAACGTCAAGAATTTTAAAAGTGACTCTCAGCGGTTCTACCTTACTATATTTTTATCATGGTGAAATCTAGATTTTTGATTTCTAAGTTAAGTTTCTAAGTGAAGCGAATGCCGTGAGAAATTTATGCTGCCATATCACATTTTCACTTATTTTCAATAAAATTCCTCCAAATATGCCACACAAATATAATCTTTTGTACATGTAAATGCAATTCATCTGGCAATCCAAAATCAAACTTTCAAATAAAGATAGAAAATAAAATAACAACAATCACGATTTGATACGCGTAACAACATTTATCTCAATTGATATTTTTTGATAAGTTTTTAACCCAAACAAATTAAAAAATTACAATTTTGAGTGTAAAAATGCAAAGGCTGAGAATCAAAAGAAAGGGAAAAAGTAATAGATGGCCTGCAGAGTAATCGTTTCTAAGTTTCTACCTACGTCAAGTCAATTGTAAGTCTTGCATAACCGGGCTTTATGGCTGTATGACATAAAGTCACATTTCAAAGTTTGTACAAAAATTAAAAATTTATTAAGTTACTTGAATAAATGCAATCAATAAACATACCTACATAGTATATCAAATACATACATATGTACATATGTATCTATGTGTTGTGCGGTGATGAGAACAATAACAACAATGTAGCAACAATGTATATACGAATTAACAATTGATAACTAATCTGTTTGCATTTCTTTTTAGTTTATAAAACATAGCACCGAATACTTGCATACATGCACATGTAGGTACACACATTTACATATACTAAATATGTATGCACGTACAAATATTTAAGTTGCACATACATACATATGTACATATATAGAATATATGTATGCACGTGCCGGGCAAATGTGGGAACAGTTGTTGTATTGCAAAAAGTTGTTTTATTGTTTTCGAGTTGCTTGCTAACAACTGCGCATGAAGCGATTATTTTGTTGTAAAATTGATACAGATACATATGTATGTATGTTCATATGTATGTATGAAGTACATATGCACAGAACTTAGATATGATTGAATATATGTATAGATATGCGCTTCAAGAGAATAATAACAATTTTTTGAATCTACTTACTCACCTTCTTTATCCACATCTTGCATTGTTAACAAATATTTATTTCTATGATAAACCAAAAGTATGTTTTTTACTATGAAAAACACAGAACTGATATCGCTGCTCTTCTTATCTAACCGTTTTCCCCAACAAAAATTACACCTCCAACACACTTCGAGCTGTTGTCGAATGTTCACAGAACGACAACAAAATAACAAACTCAGCGATGAAGTACAAAAGCCACGAAGCTATCACACGTACATACATGCATATGTAGTTGCTATATTAAGTGCAGTTATCTCTCTCTCACACTCACCTGTGGCTAGTTGGCTGGGCTAGTAGTCAAAGTGAAGCGACTACAGTCTGATTGGGTTCGTCTTGTGCGCACACACATGTAGGTACACTAATAAAGATAGTGTGGCAGCGGTGATGCCAGTATGCACGTTTCTTACCTTTTCTTAATTCCGTATTTGAAATTGATTTCTATTAGCTGCATATTATACTATGTACATATGTATTTATTTAAATGTGTAGTATGACCAGGGTGCTTGTGTAGATAAACAAGAAGTTCTATAACAAAATACAAGCTTTACAATGTATTCTTACCAAACTCCCAAGTTTTTATGCTAATTCGAAATAGAAAGAAATGATGAGTTTTTCTGATAAGGTAGCATCTAACTTACTGTAGAATTTATACATATGTATGTATGTATGTGCATTAGGGTGGTCTAACAAAAATGCATGTGAGAATGTTTAGTCCGAATTTTAATGCTCTCTTCTCCGAGGATTGTTTTATATCGAAAAAATATTCCCCTGTTTTTTATTTCGAAATCAAAAAATGTCTATGTAGAGGTCGCTCAACACGTTCAAAGTTTTTCGGGTATTTTATATGGGGAAAAAGAAATTTTCGGGGAAATGGTATAGAATTCTTGAAAATCAATATGGGTATTCATGGAAACGCGTAAATGGCACGTAACCGCGTAAACCTTGTAAATAAGCCGATTTTCCATACAAAAGTAAGTAAGTTTGCGAGGTTTACATCGTTACGAGGCCTTTACGCGATTAGAGGAATGACCCTAATATTTTTCGAACGGAAAATCATGTTTCTCTTCAGGAGAGTTCCAATAATAATACCCAATTGCATATTTTTGTGAACATTTTTTAACGATTCTGGCATTTTTGTGGGTTTTGGGGGACCTACATACATATGCACATATAAGAAATAGTTAATAATAAAAAAAATGGTTATATAAACAATTGGGTATAATTGTTGGAAGTCTGCGTTAAAAAATATTGATTTTTAAGAATTCTATACCGTTTCTGCAAATTTTCGCCCCGATATAAACTACAGAGAAAACTATGAGCGCTTTGAGCGACCTGTAAATATTTTTTGATTTGGAAAAAAACGGGAAAAATTTTTCCTATATAAAGCAATCCTCGGAGTTGGGGCGTTAAAATTCCAACTTTGCTTTTTTTGCGGACCACCCTAATGTACATACATACACATGTGTTTAAGCTTGCATAAATGTGGATGAGTTAAAGTCAAATGTTTATTCACGTTCTTAAATTCATACTAGAAGAGATGGTCGAGGCATATCGGGCTCCGTGGCACTTACGGCATAGATTTCGAAATAGCCAGAATGGGCGGTATTGGGCAAGCCTTTACAAATTTACCACCGGGACGGCACGAAAGCCCTTTTCCGACAGTCCCGATGAAACCCTCAACTTCCGAAAATTCAGAAAAGCTGCCTTAAAGACGTTGTGTGAAATAAATTCTTTTTTAGGTTTTATTGGGACGAAAACTAAAAACAAAGCAAAACAGAATAGCCGGACGATGCAGCCGTCTGTTATTTTTTTATTAAGAAATTGCGCCGAGTCTGGGAGAAATTGGTGGAGCGGTTACCACGATATACACATGTACTCATAAGTGAGCTACGCTCATTTTCCAAAAATTTCCGTATTCTTATTTTTCGTCTGAAAATTATTGTAAATATCAATTTCGAGTTAATAACTTTCAGTTGTTACTAAAATATCGCAATGTTCGATATTGATTTTTCTAACTTAAAATAATGACTGAGAAAGAAATGAATTTAAAACAACCCAAGTTTTTTTTCAACAGGTTATTGAGCTTTAAAAATACTAATTTTTCGTTGCACGCATAGTTTCATTTTCACTTTCTGGCTCCTTGACTTTTTGGATACCGTTATGCTTATATGTAGCCAAATGTTTTCAAACAAAGTTGTATTTACTCTTAAGTAGACAATATTCTTGCATATTTGATAAAAATTTTATTAAAAAATTACAAACGAAAAATTTAATAAAGTACCCTAGCTTTGCATATTGGACCACTGTGCAGCGTTTTCAATTCCAAGTAAATTTAGAAATTCGTTAAATTTTGCATCGCTATACATACATACATATATATGTACATATATATGTACTTACGTGCGTAATGAACTAGTTCTTGGAGTAGATACATACATATGTACGTACACTTGTGGTCAGGTGATTAAGTTAAGTGACATTTTGACCAGTTTTGGTTATTTTGCTTTTGTTTATTTAATGTTCATAATTTTTTTAACAAAAGTTTAGCACATTACATAACCAGCAACATATATGTAAATTCACATTTCAAACTTCGTACAAAATTTATAAAAATTAAACACCCACCCAAAAGTTTTAAACTTTTTAGAAAAAATTTGTTTAGAAATATTTTAGGTATCCAGTTTTATAGCTCATTAAATTTTAGTGGCTTAAAGTGCAGATTTTAAAACGCTAAAAAAGCGCGTTGATTTTTAACATATTTTTTTGCTGAAATTTTAATAAAAAGTTTAAAATTTCTGGGTGTAATTGTTAAAGTTTGTTTAATTTATATAAACTTTGTACGAAGTTTGAAATGTGGGTTTATGTTGTGCTAGATTTTTATAAAAAAAAAAAATATATAAACATTAAATAAACAAAAGAAAAGTAACCAAAACTGGTCGAAATGTCACTTAACTTAATCAGCTGCCCACAAGGATATGTACGCGTATATGTTTTCTGGGTTTGGGTATTTTCCAATCACTCCGGTTCTTGGATATCCGAGCGGAAGTCACTGGAAGAAATCGCCATCTACTGGTTCTTATTGTGGTTCGTATGTACGTATTAATGTAGTAATTTCGATTATATTGTAGTCGGATTATCAAGTTGTCCTTGTATTTTTAAACTAATTTAAATAATTTTAATACTTTGTTCTATTCCTGTTTTCGCTTAGATCACCAATCAAATGATAGAAACCTGCAAGTCCTACATCACTTGCCGTAGTAAGGAGACAATTTGGTCTCAAGATCGCAATGTTATTCGCACAAAGTTAGGCAATTGCATCAAGCTAAACCACATATACCACGAGACCTACTACACCGTTAGAGAGCAACCATTTTTACCCAATCAAACACCGTTCGGTTTCTCGGAAAATTTCGTTTTTGGAAAGTTTGATACATTTTGTGATCGCCTGTCGAAAATCATTTCCATGTTTAATCTAATCGATGATTACAACCATCTATTCGAGCGCCGTTTGGAGGGTCTACTATTAGCGGAAACACTCCAAGATGCCAGTAACCACTTTGAAGAGGCCAAGAAGGAGATCTTGTCGAAGAAATACGATTACTTGGATCACCGCAACGGGGAATTCAATGACGATTTCGAACGCTTCATGAACAAAACCGACTCATTGAAAGACACCATCGCCACTCTTATCGAGACAAATTTCGACACCGTGTGGGAGACACCGCAATGCATTCGCTTCTTAACTCGCTTTGAGAGGGTCAGTGAGAAGATACCGCTCAGTAAGATGGATGAAAAATATGTGCGCATCATCAAGTATGTGGATAAAGAAGTGGACCGGGTGAATAAGATGTTCAAAAAACAACGTGACGACCCGCCCGTCTGTCGAAATTTTCCACCGATCGCAGGTCGTATTCGTTGGAGTCGCGCTTTGGATGCGCACATGAAAGAACTGATGGACGCTGTACTGGAGCACCAGGTGCTAAGTGGTCTACCTTTGACGAAAGATCTAGAAAATCGCTACAACAATGTAACCGGAATGCTAAGGGAGTATGAGGAAGAGATCGTATCTATATGGCTGGATCAGGATGTACATTACTAGGGTCTTAATTTTTGGGCGTAAATTATCTTTGTGTTTATCAAATCTTTAGGTTAGCGTAGCCGATGCATGCCTCTTACAGCCTCTCTTGGCCCTGCAAGGCGACCGATTATTCGTTAACCTGCATCCCACTATACCGCTGCTGATACGCGAAGCCAAGATGTTGGCCAAGCTAGACATTGAATTGCCCATTGTTGCCGCCACATTGATGAGTCGCCAAAAGTACTTCACCAACATACAGGACTCATTAAATGTAGGCGAAAATGGAAGTCTGCTTTGTCCAATGATATTTATTTTTGTGTGTTTCTCTTTGTGTTTGGTTGTTCACAGTGTTTGATTAAAATGTTTTTGACAACTGTGCGTGCCGTTAAATTGGAAGTGCGTCCATTGTTTCTGCCGCAATTGGTGCGTCTGACGGCAATGCTGAAACCTGGCCTCCACACTATAAATGTAAGTT